TCACCAGCTGCCAACCTGGAGCTGGCAGCTGGCAGCTGCCAGTCTGGAACCGGAAACTGCCAGCTCCAGACTGTCAGTCCGGAGCTGGCAGCTGCCATTCCGCGGCAGCTGCCAGTGCAGAGCTGTGAGATGCCGCTCTGGAATTGGCAGCTGGCAGCTGACAGTCTGCAGCTGGCAGTCTGGCAGCCTGCAGCTGGCAGTCTGCAGCTGGCAGTCTGCAGCTGGCAGTCTGCAGCTGTCAGCTTGCAGCTGGCAGCCTGCAGCAAGTTTTGGTCACAAAACCCCTCAAAATCTCGACCCCCGTTTTGTGACCGTTCCGACCTCGGAACGGTCACAAAACAGGAGCCTGGGACAAAAAACGCTCTTTCTGGCTTGGGGGGTCGGGGTGTCCCCCGGGACCCCGCCGAGATTTTGTGACCATTCCGAGGTCGGAACGGTCACAAGAACCGGAGTCGGGATTTTGAGGGGTTTTGTGACCAAAACTTGCTGCAGGCTGCCAGCTGCAGGCTGCCAGATGCAGACTGCCGGCTGCAGACTGCCAGCTGCAGACTGCCGGCTGCAGACTGCCAACTGCAGACTGCCAGCTGCAGACTGCCAGCTGCAGACTGCCAGCTGCAGACTGCCAGCTGCAGACTGCCAGCTGCAGACTGCCAGCTGCAGACTGCCAGCTGCAGACTGCCAGCTGCAGGCTGCCAGCTGCCAGACTGCCAGCTGCAGACTGTCAGCTGCCAGCTGCCAACTCCACACCGGCATCTGACAGCTCTGCACTGGCAGCTGCCGCGGAATGGCAGCTGCCAGCTCCGGACTGACAGTCTGGAGCTGGCAGTTTCCGGTTCCAGACTGGCAGCTGCCAGCTGCCAGCTCCAGGTTGGCAGCTGGTGACGTGCAATTTGAGCCCAGTGATATTTGCTGAAGGGTTTTCCGGGTTGCCCAGTGCAGTTTTTACACATGTTTGCCCTATGGCTCCTGGCCAACGGTGCTTGCGTGATTTGAAGGGCCTACTGCTCAACAATATTTAGATTGTCGATAGCTTGGTTTTCACGTCGGTGCTTGGAAAATCGGATATTGGTCCTATTGGTAGTCGATTGAAAAATCTGAGATTCAAACAAATGAACAATGTTGAGTTTATTGCCAATTTCGCCCACCAGCGCTCAGGGCCCACGCAACCGTGAGTCGCCGATAGTTTCCAGCGCTGACGGCCCCAGCCAGCCAGCAATTATTTGTCGAAGGTCACGTTTCGGTCAACCCGGTGCTTTAAGAAATTATGACGCCTGTCAACTGTAGCACAGATTCAGGGCAAGGCCCCTCTTTTGCCTAAGCGCGCCTCTTTTGCCTAAGCGCGTGTGATCTTTGAAAGGAATATATGTTCTTCAACGCCAGGCTGGTGCAGTCTGTTCCCCTGTGAGTAGCAGCAGCAACAACAGGCAGAATTACTAAGCTGAGAACAGCCGGAGAAACCGCAGCCAGAACCACAACCCCAACCAAGTCAGCAACAAGCGCCGCAGCAGCAGCAGCAGAAGCAGCGACGACAATGGCAACAGCAACAGCAACAGAAAAAAAAAAGAAACAGCGGCAATGGCGCCAACACCAACATGAATACCAATATCAGCGTCATCGACGACAACATCAGGAGCAGCAGCAACAGCAGTAGCAACAGCAGCAGCAGCAGCAGCAGCAGCAGCAGCAGCAGCCGATGAAGACAGCAATAGAAACAACAAAAACGACAAGAACGGCAGCAACAGCAAAGCATCATTAGCAGCAGCAACACAAGCAAGAGCTACACCAACCGCAAAGGTAACAGTAGCAAGAAGCAACAACCGCAGCAACAGCAGCAACGACAATGGCGAGGACCAAACCTACAACACCAGCGGCGCCGCTGCCAGCAAGACTTACAGCCATGCAGCAACAACGACAACGCCGACAGCGACAAACCCGAACTGCAACCACCGCAGCAAACGCGAAACCGATGGCTAGCAGCAGCTGCCGCATCTGCCTGCGAAGCCGTTAGCAACAAAAACAAACACAACATGGAAAATAGCAGCAGCAACACCAACAGCAGCAGCAACCACAATGGCAATAGCAGCTGGCCAACAACGGCAACGACAACAACAATGGCAGCGCCAACAGCAACGATAACTGCAACTGCGTCAACAAGAACAAGGGCAAGAAGAAGAACAGCAGCAGCGACATCAGCAACAGCATCCCAACGCCAGCAACAACAACCAAAACAGCATCAGCCGCAGCTAACAGCAGCAACATCGGCGACGTTTCATCTTCGACCGCAGTCGCGCCCGCCGCCGCCGCCGCCGCCGCCATCGCCACTATACCATTACCACCACCGCCGCCGCCCCAATAACACCAACAACAGGAGCAGCAACAGTACCATGTTCGCAGCGTCTCATGCAACGATGACAACAATGAAAAGAACAGGCGGCGGCGGCGTGACTGAGAAACCGCCGTTTCATGGAAGAACTGCTTGCGCGCAAGGAGGCTATAAGTAATTTGAAGATGCGCGCAGCTCGCGTCTAATCTGAAGGTATACCTAGCGGCACCGGTCATACCCCGCCGTCGTTGCCAACGACTTGACTGCTTCAATCAAAAAGATTCTGGCCGAGCTTTTTCATGGCTGTTGTCTCTACACACAACCGCCAAAGTGAAGAACCAGACAGACCGCAGGCACAAACAAGCAAGCAAACACAGGCGACAGCTGCAAACAAGCAAGCAAACGGGCAAAGCACCAAAACGCTTGTGATGTTGGGAAAACTGCTTCCTGAGGCGGGAACTGCGGTTTATCCAAAGTCTCCTGTTGCCCCTTCCTTGCTGGTGCCAGTAAACTTGCTGCCGGCAACCTGGATCGTGCGATATTCTCGCATCAGCAGCAGCAGCAGCCCAGTAGAAGGCCCACCAGCTTTCTGTGGATGGCGCAACTTGCTCAGAAACTACAAAAACAAACAGGTCAGCCGCCAGACCTAGCCCTTCCTTGCGTCTCTGCCAACGGAGAGCGGCTCGCTCTCGGGGGGCACGGCGCTGCTCAACGCAATCTCACAGCATTCTTGTGAGAACGGCCAGCAACCCCCGATTCAAAGCCAACCCCCGAATGCCAAAAAATATCTTTCTCATTAAGTCCATGTCATCAAAATCAAACTTATTCAACAACACATCTTTCTTGTATTTCTTCAATATAACTGTTGTTTTCATTTTGCTTGTAATTGCTTGTTTGAGCATCTCGTCAGAAGTAGGGCGTTTCCTTAACTCGTGTTTGAGGTTGTTAATCATTTTGGATAATTATTGATAAGTTATATAAATGATTTATTGATCTTTTGTTCCTTCACCTGTTTCTTTCATAACTCTGCAATCTTCAATTCTTTTTCTTAGCAACTCATCATTTACCTTTGTCGTCCATTTTCCGCTGCTTAAAAGCTTCTCCACCAGTCCAACTAAATAAGTTCTTCCAGTTTCTTTATACCTTTCCCCCTTTTCTTTTTGTTTGAATATTGTTGTTCCTGTTCTTCGGTAAGTCCTGTTCCTCTTAAATGTAATTGAACAAATATGTCTGGGACCAGTGTCCAAGTTTGTCACAGCGGCGGCACGGCGACACCTTCATCTTCTCGGCAATCCACTTCTTCCTGTCGCCGTCCTCAGGCTTCCGGAAGTGCTGCCGCATCTTCCGCACCTCCGCGATCTTCTGCTTTGCCTTCTACTGCCTCGCACTCCGCTTGGATCACCTCATCCGGCGCCCTCCTCGCTTGGACGGCCATGTCCTTCCGGCCAAAGTTACCCAGACTTTCCTTGAATGAGGCGCTCGTCCCTCCAACATCGGCTCGGAGGTGCCAATCAAGTTGCCCGACTCTCCCTCAAGCTCCACCGCTAGCTCCACCCCAGCGCGCTTCTTGATGAGCAACCGGGCATGTAGAAGCTGTATCGCATCTCCTTGCCCCAAAGCCAGAAGCTGAGAGCTGAGATCCCACCCCTTGTCGATCTAGTTGGCGTGTGGTTGGGCTGCTTTCCGAAGCGCTGAGGATGCGCTCCGTGCCACTGCTGTCTTGCGGTGCGCCAACTGAGCGGCTCTGTCTTTCAGCTGGACCATGCTGCACGCCAACCAGCTCTTCGGAATCTGGTTCCGCCCCACCAAGCCAGACACCGCCCGCAATCCCCGGCCACTCAGCGGCTGGCAAGCTACCCCCACTGGCAAGCCGCACTGGTTAGCTGCTGCCGGGATCCATTGGTGGACTCTACTGGTGAACTGGGATACTCGGCGGGATCCACTGGCGGGCTGCTCTGGTGGGATACTCGGCGGGATCCACTGGCAAGTCGCTCTGACGGAATTCTGCGAGCCGCTGTGGCGGGATACTCGGCGGGATGCACTGGCGAGCGGGATACTCGGCGGGATCCGCTGGAGCCGTTCTGGCGGGATACTCAGCGGGATTCACTGGCGAGCAGCTCAGGCGGGACACTCGGGCTGGCGAGCTGCTCTGGACGGACACTCGGTGGGACAGCTGGCGAGCTGCTCTGGCGGGCTGGGTGAAGGCGTGGTGTGGGAGCATCGCAAACGCAAATCCGAACATAAAATCTAACAACCCCTTAATTCGGGCGGGGAACGCGCAGCCCAGGTACTTATGCCACGGCAAAAACCGCGGTCGCAACAGCGACGGTTTATTTAGCAATCTTGATTTGGCCACTTGGATTACTTGGATTGCTCGTTCTGGAAAGTCTTGGGGAAACACTTTGCGCTTCCGCCTTTCGTCGTTTCCTCGTTTCTTGCTGCTGGCTAAATTGGTCGCCTTGGTGACCGTCGCCTCGCCCCTCTTCGCTTCTTGACACAAGAGCCAAGGAGCCAAAGCCCACCTTCTGACAATCGTTTTCGATTAAAACTGTTCTTGGCCTTTTGGCAAGGTGTTGCCACATATCTGTGTCTGTATCCATCTCCCGCTGCGTCCGCACAATCTGCCACTCTTTTTCCACTCTTCTACTCTGCCTTCTGCGTCCACAAAAACCCACGCCTCGTGCTCCGCCAGCGCCCGGACCAGAGAAGCGTGGGTGATGAAGTCTTCCCGCACACTCGGGAGAGTGCGACGTGCGACGCATGCGTGAAATCTGCCATGAAGTCCATTTACACACCCTGCGCCTGCTCCTCAGCAGCTGCTGCCAAAAGCTGCGGATGAAGCCCGCCTCAACGCGTGCAATGCACCCCCAGAGCACATTAGCCATGCGGCCGGGCAAGAAAAATGGTGGACAGCTAGGTGCCTAGCAGTGAGCTTCCTCTGGAAGCGATCCTAGGACAACCCAGAGCTATTTTAGCGTAGGCACCACAAAGCCTAGCATCGGATATTACTATTGTTGCAAACTGACCGCTCGTCTAAGTTAAGCAAAATGGTAAACGCGGACATGAACGCTGATTGAAATGTCTCGATTTGGAAAAGCGTGGCTGGGATCATTCTAACTTGTTTGAATTTCTTACACTCCGAGATCCCAGCCACTGCTTGCTCCTTCTGTCTCTCGTCAACCTCCGCCAAGCGCCTCGAATCGAGCGAGCTGAGCGAAGCGAGCGAAGTGAGAAAAAGCGTTGCGCCTGACAAATGTGCGGATGTGGGAGCGGACGCGAGCCTCTTGAAACTAAGCTGAAAGCAGGGCTCGGCTTAGTGGCTTGCCTGCTTCAGGTTCCAGCCCTCCATGACAAATCGCATGGATTGAATGGTCCTGTGCGATTGGATTTGGTGTTTTGCTGTATTTCTCCTGAAGACCCCAAATGCTGTATCTTGCTCGCAGTTTGCGGCGAGTTTAGGTTAGGCATCAGGCAAAGCTCAGAGCTGCGAAAGCGGGGTTTGGAACCAAGCTTGAGTTTGTGGTGGATTCAGGGTGGCTCAGTTGATTTACTGCCGTGTTTGTGTTGGTTTAGGGGCAGGACGTGTTTTGGGGTTGAGGTTTGGGGTTTAAATGAGGACAGATCTGCTTAGGGCTGGCTTCTCTGGGTTGAGGGCTAGGTGTAGCTTGGCTGCTTCAATGTTTCTAGGAGAGTAGAACAAAAACGAAATCGGAAACTCTATCGGGAAAGACCGGGGCCCTCCTTTCCATCAGCAAGGCTTTGAAGGCGTCGATGGGCATCTCCCGCTGGCCTCCACAAACCTGACGAGCAAAACAGCACAGACACGTCTCAAACTGCACTGCGCGTCACTTCCATTCACAACGCCGACATATGCCGACGCCGCGCCTGTCCAAAGAGGTGCCTGCAAGTGCTCTGGTTTAGGGGGAAGTGGATCAGCCTGCCGTGGCAGTGATTTTGGCCATTTCGCTGATATGTTTGGCCTCAAAAGGTCGCAGAACTTCTGGAAACTGACAGTGCTTTCGCCTCAGACACGCTTGCATTCGACGCCACACCCAGGCACTCCTGCAGTCAGCTCAATATTCTTGACGGGTGCCAACATGAGGGAGATTAGTACAATTAGGAGCGGTAACCACCATAAGTGCGATATATATATATATATGTATATACATATATATATGCGTTAAGAGTATACATGCCCTTAGGTACATGTCACGGTAGTACAGCTTGGTCTCACCGTGGCTGTACATGTCAAGGCCTTGAGTATACTACAGCCGCGCTGATTCACATCACAGGTTCATCACATCAGGCATTCAGGTAACATTCAGTTTAACATGGTAGCGGAGCACAACTGACTACAAGCATCACCACACCTTGGGAAGATCCAACCAACCAAAGTACACAGTGACACAGTGAGTGACAATGGCGGCACAAGGAAGTGCACAACAAGCACAACTCCAACAGCAACTGTCAGGATTACACAAGTACAGAATATCACCTCCACGATTCAGTGGCGAATACACCACATTCGAAGAATGGAAGTACAAGATGACAGCATACCTTGGTTTGCAAGAGTCATCATACAACAGGCTACTGAATCAAGCGGAACAATGAGCACAAGCAATCACAAGCGACCCACTGGAACAAGCCGCGCCAGATCAGGACACAGCAGAGAAATGGCTACAACTCAGCGGAGATCTACACTTCCTGCTCGTCAACACATGTGACGGAGCAGCATTAACAATACGCAGACAGAACATGCTCGGCAATGGTTTCGAGACAGGGAGACAACTACACCTACGTTACGCACTGCCACTTGGTACAAGAAGCATCGGTTCCCTCACCAAGCTACTCAAACCACAACTAGACGAAAACAAGTTCGAAGAGAGCTTTACAACATGGGAGTTTCAACTCGCCAAGTACGAACAAGATAACAGAACACTTCTACCGGATGCAATCAAGATTGCAATCCTGCTCAACGACACAAAAGGTCCACTACAACAGCATTTGCAACTACAAGCAGGCAATATCACAACCTACGCACAAATTAGATCACTGGTTGTGGAATACCACAGAGCAGCATCACAATTCGTCAAACTACAAGCGGCTACGAGCCGTGACAACCTAGGTCCAACACCAATGGACATAGGAGCAACGGTACAACAAAGGAAAGGGCAAGAAAGGAAAAGGAAAGAACAAAGGAAAATACACGGCGGCTACGGCAACTACAACAATCACAAAGGAGGCAAAGGAGACAACAGATACAATCAGCCGATAGGGCAAGGAAATCCGTTCCAAGGCGGATACAACAACAAAGGAAAAGGAAAAGGATATCACAAAGGTAAAGGATACAATTACAGCAAAGGAGGCAAAGCAACAAAAGGAAAGCAAGCCACAAACGTATGCTACACAGAGTGGCCATTTACAACGATGACAACGGCAACATGGAAGACAACGACGTCACAGATGACTGGTACCACAACAATCACTACGATGGAAATTGGCACCACAGTGACCAGACACAACTGCATTCCAATCAGCAACAATTAGCGCTACAACACGGCAATGAACAGATGCCTTTGATAGTCTCTGGACTTGAGGAAGTGATCATTGCTACAGCAACGGTACGCAAACAACAGGTATATCGATCTCATGATCGACAGTGGTGCAGCTACACATGTCTGCCCACCATGGTTTGCAACAGAGTTACAAATACAACCACTGACACCAGAATACGGACCACAGCTGAGGACAGTGACAAACCAGCCAGTCAAGCTGCACGGATACAAATGGGTTTGTATGAACAACAGCATTGTCACACCGTTCTACATGTGTGTGACATCAAACAGCCCATACTATCAGTGACAAGACTGATAGAACAAGGGTTTCAGATTGTGTTGGATGACAATCCAAGGATACACCACGACAAGGGTTTCGACAGCAGCATCACACGGTCACATGGACTAACTAGACTTTGCATACCCAAAAAGCTTCGACGACAGCAAGGTACATCCGATACTCACAGCAATCGACATATAATCAGGCATGATGATGGCGCTACAACTCTCAGAGAAGCAACGACTCTTTGACTACGCCGCACAACAGCTACAGCAGTTCTTGGTGGAATGCGGCAGAACCACACATGTGATACTACAATCAGACCAAGAAGACTACTTGACCGCACTTACAAAGGCAGTGGCAAACACAATGGGGAACATAACTACACGCGCTTCGCCGGCATACAGTTCACAATCACAAGGAGTAGAACGGGCACACCGCACACTCTTCGGACAGATACGAACACTGAGAGCACAAATGTTCCAGAGCTACAACAGGACAATCACCATGAAACACCCCATCATGCCATGGATAGTGCGGCACAGCGCTTACATCGTGAACAGATACGCCATACACGCAAACGGAGTCACAAGCTTTCTACAACAGATGGCACAAAGAGCAACACACTCCACTGTGTGAGTTCGGCGAAACCGTACAACACATGGTCTCTAGAACCACGCGTCTTCATTGGAATATGGCTAGGGAAAGATACATCCACAGGCGAATCCCTGATAGGGGTATACAATAAGATACTGCGCGCACGTACGATACGACGACAGATCAAACCGCACAAGTACAACCAACAACTCTTCGACGTGATCGACATGGGGCCGTGGACTACACCAGCATCGGCGCTTACTACGCCGACAACGCAGACAACAACCACGCCGACAACATTGATTGCCAATACCACAACGACAACATCAGACGGCAAAGCAACAAAAGGACGCAACAACGAGCACATCATCAGATGGCAAGCTCAACACAGGCGAACAAAAGGATGAAGGCTCGCCAAAGAAACAACAGAGAACACAGGAACCTACATCGCCGATGGCAACAGCTCCACCAATGACACAACGACCAGCGCTCAATGCCCACATCATCAACAAGACCACGACCGGGTGAAGTCACAGAAGGCAGCACGAGTAAACAGCAGAAGACAACAGCAGGAGCAACAGCAAAGGATAGACCCACTACAGGAGAACAACCACAACGCAAAATGAGGATAAATGCAATGACAGTCAACACACGGGACGGCAAACACGTCGAGACAACATCAAATGAGGATCCACAGGAGATAGAAAATGAAAGGATACTACTGGAACCCATACTACATGGTACAGAAGGACTGGATCCAAAAAAGGTTGCAACAGGAATGAAGAAGGAGATACAACAAGTGAAGGAACAAGGAGTCTACACCGAAATAGACGGCAACACACTCACGACTGAACAATGGTCCCACATCGTAGAATCCAGATGGGTACTACGACCAAACCAACAAGAGGTACGAGCACGAATGGTTGCAAAAGGGTACCTCATCTACGCAAGCACACCACTGTTCTGTATCCTACGGATACTTCTTACAATGGCATTGTCGAACAACTGGTCAGTACGCACAGGAGATGTCAGCATAGCATTTCTACATGCATCAGCAGCAACACTCAACATCATCATGAGACCACCTCCGGAGTTCTACGACGACAACAACAAACATGGAAACTGAACAAAGCAATCTACGGCCTGAGGTCATCGCCCAAATAATGGCAAGACCAATTAGCAGAAGTACTTACAGCACTTCAGTTGACAAGACTCAAAACAGACTCGAACGCTTACAGGAACAGAGCAGGAACGGCTTACATCATGGTCTACGTGGATGATCTACTGTTCATAGGAGAACAAAAGGAGCTAGACATCCTGTTTGACAAGATCATGAAACATGTCTTGCTTCGGCAAGCTCACAACTGGCAAAACAATCACCTTCCTTGGAAGAAACAATACCCACAAAGGAGACCACATGGACATTAGTCTGGAAGATGACTACATCGACAACATACTGAAGGAGTCCAACATGACCACATGCAACGCAGCACCAGCACCCGGGATTTCAGCCTACAGGCGTTTGGTTGGCAAGATACAATGGCTAGCATACACAAGGCCAGACATCAGCTATGGAGCAAAGGAGTTGGCCAGGTCCCTACAAGCACCAACACAGATAGACAACAAGAAACTCAAGCACACGAGACGATACCTCAAAGGTACAAGACACTGGAAACACGCTCTCAGACCGACAGCACAAATACAAGACAGAAGGATTCCAATCAACATCGACATCTACACAGATGCAAATTGGGCATCATGCGAAACAACACGCAAGAGCACAACAGGATTTGTCATACATTTCCTGGGAGCTACAGTTCACTACGGAAGCAGAACACAAGCAACAGTAGCCCTGTCATCAGCAGAGTCAGAGCTATACGAAATTGGTACAGCTGCACAAGAAAGCATCTACATCAGCAACTTCGTCAAGGAAGCTTTGGACACAAAGACCAACATGAGAATTCACACAGACAGCAGCTCGGCTAAATCAATGGCCATGAGAGAAGGTACATCAAAGAAAGCAAAGCACATAGAGCTACGGTACCTTTTCATGCAACAACTGGTCAAGAACAAGATCGTCACAATGTGCAAAATAAGGTCGGAACACAACCCCTCGGAAATACTGACAACGTTTGTCCCAACCGACACACTCCACAGACACCTGTACAAAGGCTTGCCCAGCCAACCTTGACATCAACAAGCACATCAACGTCAAGAGTATCACCCACAGTTTGCACTGCAAAGTGTGCACAGAGTGTTTAAACATCAGTTGCACAGGTCACGCACTTTTGTTTCACTACATGTCAGCCGGCTAAACCACTTTTAGGGTAGTTACACTGCCATGGATCTACTCTACCTTTTGGGTACAACGACGACCCTGTTTTTGCACTACAATCTTTCGACTGCAGTTTCACTTGACAGCTTGACAAAAGCTTGAATACATGTCTTATCACTGCAGCCATTTACATCGGTCTTGTACAGCTAGAGGGAGATACATTGCCAGGTCAACAATGGCTCATCGTGCATACAAATCCATCCATCAGCAACCCCGCCTACATTGCCCCCGAGGAGCCAAGCGACTACACCACCGC